AGCTTCGCGGCCCTGCTCCTGGGCGGCTGCTTCATCCGTCCTGCCCCCCAGGCGCAGCTGCCCCCTAGTGTCCTCCCGTCCCGCAGAGCCTCCCGGCGCAGCTACCCCCTGTCCCCTTGTGCAACTACCGCCTACGCTCCCCCCATAGCCTCCCGGCGCAGCTACCCCCTGCCCCCTTGTGCAGCTACCTCCTCCCCTTCCCCCATAGCCTCCCGGCGCAGCTACCCCCTGCCCCCTTGTGCAGCTACCTCCTCCCCTTCCCCCATAGCCTCCCGGCGCAGCTACCCCCAGCCCCCTTGTGCAACTACCTCCTCCCCTTCCCCCATAGCCTCCCGGCGCAGCTACCCCCAGCCCCCTTGTGCAGCTACCTCCTACCCTCCACCCAGCACAACTACCCCCCATCCCTCTGTATCCCCTTTGTGCAGCCACCTTCTCCCCTCCCCCATATCACCTCTTGCGCAGCTACCCCCAGCCCCCTATAGCCCCCTTGTGCAGCTACCTTCTCCCCTTCACCCCACACAGCTACCTCCCAGCCCTCTGTATCCCCCTTGTGCAGCCACCTTCTCCTCCTCCCCTCATAACCCCCCAGTGCAGCTGCCCCCCATCCCCTTCCCACCATAGTCCCCCGGCGCAGCACTCCCTAGCCCTCTGTATCCCCTTTGTGCAGCCATCTCCTCTTTGCCCCATAGTCCTCTGGGGCAGCTGCTCCCCCATCCCTTTCCCACCACAGTCTCCCTTATGCAGCTACCCCAGCCCCTCATGGCCCACCTTGTGCAGCTACCCCCTTCCTTTCCTCCATGCCCTCCTCCCCCAGTGCAGGTATCCCCTCCCATGGCTTTCCTGGTGCAGTTAGGTCTCTTGCCTACCCCCTCTGATTCTCCTAGCTTTTCTGTTTTATCCCCACTTCTTTTTCCAGATGCCTGCACTGTTATCTTCCTCCTTACTTTTCTCAATCCCCCAACCCAGGAATCCCCTCCCATTGCTATCCCTCCTTCCTGATTCTTCATTCTTCTTTTCTTCCATTTATTTACCCTCCCCTCCCATCTTTTATTTCCTTGCCAATTCTCAACATTGTGGCACCTTTTATTTCTCTCTAACATCCTTTCCCCCCTCCCCTTTCCTTGATCCTTTTAAGACTTTTTATTTTCTGCCTTTCCAATTCCCTCTCCTAAATCAACTTGAGGATCTAATTCCTCTCCTTTCCCCAATACAGTTGGTACTCTTAGCATACACTCCCACCCACATATATTTCTTAGTATCTTTTTTTACCTCTTATCCCAGTTCCCCGTGAGCCCTGTATATTTCTGTTTTTTTCCACCATTGCAATCTGCCTGTCACTTTTATTCTCTGTTCCGTACTCCAGCCCCTAGTCCCTTTTGTGCATCTCTCTCTCCCTCCCATCATCTTCATTCTTCTCTGCAACAGCTGGGGTTTCTGCAGTGTCTTTCTCTAGGTGAGCTGTGTTTCGTTTCTTTATGAAAACCTGGCATGATCTTAGCTCTTCTGGGTCAGCCTGATGTAGACTTGAATGAAAGATCTGAGGAGGGGAAGGGAGAAAGAGAAGACTGAGATAAATGCCTCACTACAGATGGGATAGAAAAGCTTTCATCATGAGAATGAGGTACCTTAGGATACTGTTTTAAAATTAGTCGCAAATGAAGGAATTAGCCTCCAAAAGAGCAAGATTTGGTACTGTAGCTCTGTCCCTGGTGTGTGTGTGTGTGCGTGCTCTGAATGTCTATGCTGTCTGATGACCATATTTGGATTACACAGCATAAGCCTATGCTGGCAGTGTTTGTGTGATGGTTCATATACTGTTGTTTCAGCATTGAAATCAGCCTTGATTAGATAGGAGTCTCCCTTTAACTTCCAAGGTGCTTCTGTTTGCTAAATGTTTAGGAGTCGAATGGAAGGTGACAGAAATACCGTCATCAGTTTCTGTGATGCAAGGAATTTTGCCTCTGATATGGAGGAGTGAATATTAAATAGAAGAGATTGTCCTGGTAGTTTCTAATACCAAATTAGAGAAGACTGTATGCAACTAAGCAACTTGTTATAGTGTGAGTTTCATCTCTCCCTCCCACAAGAGCAGCCTTGCTAAAACCAGAATTGTAATTGGCATAGCATTGAACCAATTCAGATCTCTCATTCAGTTTCCTTGTGACTTGAGCTCAACTATATTTAAGTTCACTATGTATCTGTTCCACTGTATGTCTTGAGACCGCATTTTGGACAGTTGTAGCCAAGTCAGGGGATCTGGCTTAAGCACAACTAAAATCGGTAGCTTGGGGGAGAGAATGCACCCATAACAAACACCAAGCTTTGGGTAATATATCTGTCCTGTTCCCATCACAGTTTAAATCCAGTTGTAACTGGGTCAGATAACCAAGTGGTAGAAACAAGTCAGAGGATTCTTTCAATCTGTAATTTTAGACAAGGTCTTGAGAAGTCATCTTATCCTTCACATGTGGATGCCTTGCGTGTGTAATTTTTATTTCTGGAAAAAAATGCACTTCTTTCTCGTCACAGACCTGTTCCCAGTTAACAGTTTAATGTTATATGTTAAAGAGTACACTTTTGGTAGCTTGGTTCTGTATTACCGCTGAACACTTTGTAATCGGAGACTTGAGTCATGTGGGATTAGATATCGCTGCAGAAAGCTCTCAGCAATCTGTTTATCATGACTCCATAATCAATAAACTGTGGCAAGGTATTTATTTGCAATTACATTTCTCCATTTCAGTGCTGTTGGTGTGTGTTGCATTTTAATTCCATACCGTCTTCTAGGCACAAATCAGATTTACTCTTAGCTCATAGGAATTGCAAGAAAATACAAACTGTATCTGTTTTCCCCTCAAAAGAAGAGAATGGCATGGAAAGAAATGAGGGAATCTGCAGTAACCACTATTTTTTTGCCAGCTATGGTTTTGCTAAGTAAACTGATACTCATATGAATTGTGCCAAATAAGCGTGTTTTTTTAGTAAGAACCCTACCTGCCAGTCTGTCACCAATTGACTTAAAAAGCTAATCCTGTTCCTAATATCTGTTCATCATGTGCTTTCAATTGATGTATGATGTGTCCAGATCAGTTCTGCAGCATGCAAAAAAATAAGGGTTTTGAGTGTAAAATTGGAAGATAAAGCTGTTGTTAAAAGCACTTTAGTGCAGTCAAGTTGATTGGCATCTTTATTTTCAAAGAATAATTTCTAGAAACTACCTTTCTAAAATTATGTTTACCCCAGTGTCAAATTAATGTATACCTTTTTTTTTTAGGCTATGGAAAAATCTGTTCATAGATTTACCCATCAGCAGTGTGAAATTAAGACCCTGGTTAAGTTCCTTGTTGCTACTCTGTAGTCTGCAGTGGGCATAATAAAAAGGTGCAAAGGGAGCAGAACAGGACATTGATTGTGGCCCCTTGATTCTTTAAAGAAAATGTTTTGCCCCATGTTTGGCTCTATGCTGAAAAGTTTGGATACTCCTGCTTTCTATTGCATTTGTTTTAAAAATATATACTGAGAGACTTCAAATGTTATGTTGGGTATGGATAGACATGCAATCACAGGTGAACCAGATGGCTTAAAAGATGTCTTCACAACTGTGAATCTTCACCTCTCAATTGCCTTTTGTATCTGGCCTGAGTTGGTTGGATCTGAAAGACAGGGATGCTGGAACAATTTTTATAGTGGGGGCGCCGAGAGCCATTGAATCAAACAGTAAACCCTGTATATAATGGAAACCACTTCAAGCCACAGGGTGTGCCCCTAGTTCCAGCACCTATGCTGAAAAGTGTTACATCATCAGCTAGTAATTCATTCTGAATTGCATCCATTGATGGATGCAATTCAGAACTTTGTCAAAACATGTTAATACAGCTGTTGCTACTGCTGACGCTTATTACATGTCGTCTTGTTAATCTCAGCAAGGCTAAGAATGGAGTGAACTGTCTTCTTCACTGCCACCTTCCTTAGATCTTGTCAAGTAAAGATTGAGGCATATCAAAGAGTGCACGGAATGTTTGCACTGTTACTACCTTGCTTTATCTGTCAATAGAGCATTTCAGTTTTCTGTCTTTTCAATCAAGTGTCTTTTGCCAGCGTTAGAGTATTTTTTTTTTTTGTAATTAACTTTGATCCTTTTTGAATTGTGTTGGAATAAATTCAGTCCTACATGGTGATGAGACAAAAATAAATCTCATTTTTTCAGACTGAGTGGAAGCAATAGTTTTAAAAATTGCTGCTAGCACAGTGGTAAAATCATCTGACCATGTAAATCAGCAAACCAGTGAACTTAACAAAACAAAATAAAACAAACAAAAGCCCTGTGGAAGGTGGCTGAGCAAATTTATCAAATAATTTAAACTTGGGGTTCCCCAAAAATTTGAGTAGGAGACCACCTCTTGGTGGTGAAGAAATATTTTCTTGCCACCCACAATCAACTTCAACACCAATCAAAATAAATTTGAATGCACTCCATCCCTTTCTGCTTCCCAGTCACTTCCTGATTAAATTGATTACTCGCACCGCACATAAGCAAGCTCAAGCCCACCATGAGATCGATTGCCTCTTCAGCAATCCCTCTCATTGTCCTCCCTGGAACCAGTTCCATGATCCTGACTCCTGTGTTTGCTTAGCCACCTACTTCAAGGTCTTCAGTGCTCCCTCTGTTTCCAGTGATCTTGGATCCCCTGACGGATTGCTCCAATGCAAAGGAGGCAGCTCCCTTTGGTAGCAGCTTCTTTCTGTTGTTCATATTAAGATAGTACCCTGTTCTCAGGAGTAGTAGCTTCTGAGTTGCAGGTAGAAAAGTTGGTTAAAATTTGCAGTGCCCCCACAAAATTTTGGCAACTAATATTAAATATTTGTATAAATTTAACTTTTATTTCTAAAAATTCCTGACACATTTCAAAATGTAGCCAGATTATTATTCCATTGATATCCTAGGAAACAATTTATTCCTCTGCGGCACCTGGCATTGGCCACTGTTGGAAGACCGGATACTGTGCTATATGGATGTTTGGTCTGACCCAATATGCACTGAAACCCATTTTAGGATTGGTGGTTTTGGATTCTGCCTTGTACCTAGCCTCTTAACGTCACCTGCTCTTTAATTTCAATGAGATAATGCAAAACTATTCAACTGATGACTGAGTTTTTGTGCCAAGTGCAACAGATAGTTCCACTGTTTGTACTATTTGATTCTGCGTAGACATTAATTTGGGCATGCACACAGGATATGTCTGTGATCAGTGTTATCTGTTGATAACAATGTAACTAACTGGACAATCTGAGAGTCTTCCCTCCATAGCAAATGGCTATTCTTCTCTTTCTGATCAAGTGTCCACATATTATCTGCATATCTGCTCTGGAAGTACATTTTGATTCTTTTGGGCCAAATTTGTATAATGGAGGGCTGCAGGTTTCACAGGTTTAAAAAAAAAATGTACAGTATTCTGGATTGCAGTGCTCAGGAAGGAAGTGAGACTTCCTCAAAACTATGTGCTTCACCCGTCAGAATGAGATGTATTAGTTCATTTTGCAAAGTACTCTGAAAGTGCAAGGTGCTCAGATAGAGCAAAGTATCGGGACTTCAAAAATCTACTGTCCTTGTGTTGACTAATAAATCTTCCTAGGGAAACTTAAGGCATCGAGAGCTCAAGCTATTTTTAAAAGAGAACCTTCAGATGCACTGTTGCCTCCAGACAAATGGTTCTGGAGTGTTTATGCTTAAAGCTTTTCCCTAGATTAATATGATGCTTGTCAGTTTCACTAATGCTAATCAGAATCCTGTGAACAGTAGTAAAACTGGCTGGCATTAATTTTTGCTGCCTGTGCTCTTTGAAAGCAGAGGAAGGATCTGGATTTAGAGGTGAGAAGGGATTAAAAAGTATTAGAGAGCCCACCCCTCAAAGCAGCCAGGAGCCTCTGGAGTGGATAGGGAGGGTGGGAGAGCATTCCTGTTCACTTCCAGGAGCCTGAAGGAAAACATGACAGGGATTTAAACTGATGAGCACATACTAGTCAGAGGCTGATAGGAAAGATGATTCCCCAAGCATGGTCCAAAAGCAGCTCCCTTCTCACCATGGCTTTTTATCTGGACCTCTCTGTGGGAGCATCCTTCCTCTTCTCATTTTTGTGTGAGCTGTGAAATATTAGAATTAATCCAGTCATTACTCCACTTTTTCCAAGCCCTGCTAAGTGTTTTTACCACTTCGTTAGCTGATGCAAGTTCCTGTGCTTCGTTCATAGTCTAACCTGGCTTGATGTGCCCATTGTGAGAAAAGGCAAAGAAGTAACGCATGAGAATTGTTTAATAAGAATTTTCCATGCCTTAGCACAGAAAGGAAAACAACAAAACCTTAAACAGTATTAAAATGGCATAATTTAGTGATTGCCACTCTTGCCTATTATGTAAAAAAGAAACCTAACAGTACCTGCAACTTGTTTGTTCAG